TTTGTTATGGAGTAACAGTCAGTCTATGCAAGTTTCGACGCGATTTTCACTATGGGTCATTCGGAAACAGTCTCTCTGTGCTTTAGTATAGGGGTAAGACTGCGTACATCCGACCACCCCCCTACCCCAACGTGGTGGGAGCCTTTGCGGCACTAGGGTAATGATAATGATGATGATGAATGTACTTTTAATATATTTAGAGTCATTAGATATTAGATATGATGCACCAGATTTATTCTTACTTTTCATAGAAGGATGACTTTTTATTTGATCTAAAATATACTCTTTGCGTCCCATAACACTCTTATCGATTTGATTGGATCGTAGTTTAAGAAAATAGGAATAAAGTGGAAATTTATGATTGTGGTTGAGTAAAAAAAAGGGTAAATCAATGTTAGCCACACAAAACTTTCCAAAAAGGGAAATGAGAAGAATTTTTTGTGACATCCCAAAAAGGTAAGTGAGAAGAATTTTATGGGACAAAGGTAATATAGATAGTATATAGAGAGAGTTCGCAGTTATTTTCAATTATTTTTAACTGGCTTCCTCATTGAATTTTTAGCTGAAATTTGGTGGACATAATATACACTTCATGGAAAACATGCTCATACAATTTCATAAAAAAATTCCACCCGGAACCAACTCAAAATGAGGTGGCCAGACGGCGATCCTGTCTGGATATTCCGGACATCGATATATTGTGTGTTATACATACATATATATGTATGTATATGTAATTGTATAGTGTGTTATATGTATGTATATGTATGTATAACTGTATTGTCTTCCTTGCAATTCAACGTTGTATAGTGTTGTACATCAGGAAAAACCGTAGATTTAGTCTTCTAATCTAAATATATATGTCTATTTCCATGATACTAAATCAATAAATCTACTGAATGGCTCAGTACCGGCGAAGAGATGTACTGATTTAGTGCATGTTTGGCAGACACAAGTCTCTGCCTTCTAGCTTTTGGACTGTTAAAAAAGTCTCTAATAGCTTTTCGAAAATTAAAGAGCTTTTTTGAGATGCTACAGGGTGTAGCATACGAGAAAAGCCTGTGACTTTTAGTATTAATTAGTCCTAACAACTTGTACACCAAACCGAACTAAATCAAACAGTTAGCTTTTTACCAAACAGCTAACACCTTTTCTTTTTAAGATCTTTTCAGTCACTAAAAAGTAAAAACTAACCGTTACTAAAAAGCTCACTAAAGTATCTTTTTAGCTAATTATGTCAAACATACCCTTAGTCTGATAGTTGCACACTGTTTAACTATAATATGTCTATTTGCATGGGCGCATGCATGCAGATAGGTGGTGGAGCAGTGGTGCTTACAGATATAGTCTACTGGTTCATCATTTTCCCCACTCTTGATGATTCGGACTTGACTCTTGTAAGTATGTGCGCAACTGTAACGCTGCCTGTGTTAATTTACCACATGCATGTACTGTGTGTACCTCCATTTGATCTTATCCTTGCTAGCTCTCACATTTTTAGGATCGGATGACGATCCATGTTCTTGTTTCATCCGTTTACAGCTGACAGTAGTAGCACATTCACTTAATATGCTGCTTCTTGGCGATGCATCTCTTAATTGCTTGGTAATTATTTAAAGTCGTGTTACCCACTAACCTCTTTTTCTAGCTTTATATTATTATTATTATATGTAATGCTTCTTCTGATCTTCTCCAATATAAGTTAAAATAAGAAATTTGTGACTGCATATATATAATTTGCTTTTGAATATCTTCCCAGCCATTCCCATGGTTCCGGATTGCTTACTTTATTTTCTGGACCGGTGCCTATGTTTTATCCCAATGGATTGTTCATGCTTTACAATCTATTTGGTAATTAATAGCCTCTCTGATCTCAGATATCTTTTCATTGGTGTGATTTCTGAAACTCCATATGTGTTCTATCTTCATTCTTCTAATATAGCCATTCCATTTACTTCTTATCTTTCAGGTGGCCTTACCCTTTTCTCGACTTATCAACCCCAAATGCTCCCCTCTGGTATGCTGGAATTCGAATTCCTTAACCATATATATTATATAATCTGAACAACAAAATATATCAAGATAATTATAACAATAATTTTTTGACAAGATATCCAGATTACTGCACACTGATAAATCCAAATATAATATAAGAATTTGTTCTTAAACAAATGCAAAGTTCAACTTGTTTGAAGGCTCTTTTCTCTTTCCTTGTTTAATCAGTTGCTAAGCACTTAAAATTTAATCAATTGCTCACAATCTTAAGCCAAATGGATAATAAACTGTATGAAATATTTTTCGATAGATGAATTAAACCATAAGAAGAAAGGAATGAAAATAAAGAGGAAGACAATGAGACCACAAAGTCAAATGAAGCATTTTTTGTAATTCAGTCATGATGTTATACTCCAGGAATGTTCGAGGAATATACTATGTCTAGAAGTAGGAATTCACGCTTCAGAAAATGAATTCAAACTATAGAACAAAAGATCAGATGAAGAACAAGAGAGAGTTTATTCAGAAGAGTTAACAATCTGCCCCTTCCTTCTCTATCGGCTAGTATTATATATGAGCTAGCTATTACAAACTAACGCAAGCTAGCAACTAACAGAAGCTAGCTTTAACTTCCATACGATTCTAATTGTTGAGCTGCCAAAATCCTTGCCCATGCTTTATCTACCTTGCTGACTCACTGGATATTTATTTTCAAGTATAACAATCCTTTCCCCTTAAGACAAGCTTATCCTCAAGCTTATAATAGAGCAGCTATAAAGTCTGGGTACCTCTTGACAATGTCATCATAAAGTTCTTAGGTAGCATTCTCCTTATCTCCATTCACCCATTGTATCAATCAGTAAACTGCTGCTGTGTTCCCCCTTCTTGCTATCTTCATGTCTAACACAGCTAAAGGTTGCACATTTAGTAGCTCCTGTTCATCTAGTATAAGTGAGTAGCTTGCAATAGGAATCGGTCCATGATGTTTCTTAAGCTGAGAAATATGAAACACAGGGTGTATCTTGGAATGTTCAGGGAGCTACAGTTTATACGCCACTTTGCCCACTCTCTTTTCAATTACAAAAGGTCCTAAGAATTTAGGGGTCAACTTTTGATGCCTCCTGTAAACAACAGCGTGTTGCCTATAGGGTTGCAATTTGATGTAGACCCAATCTTCCTCCAAGAAGTCCTTGTTAGACATCAATCTTTAGGAAAGAAACTGAAATTTATTCAAAGAATTTCAAAAACTCTAGAAAGATTGATGTCTTAAAATGACAGGTCTTCGTGAGGCTGCATTAAGTAGAGAACTATAGCTGACGGTCTGACTAGCGAGAGTTTGGCAACGAGAGATGATCGTTAAGTAGTGCGACTGCTGTGTAGAGGAGAGAAGGTGTGATGAAATTTGGATGAGAACCTATTTGATGAAATCTGGAAAAGTGAGTCGGAAATGTTAAGAAAAGGGGAAAAGAAGGGAAAGTAGACAAATAACAAAAAATTTATCATTAAGTTGAGGATTCTAAGATAAGTATGCATCTCCATCAAAATCACCATTAATGATCTCATTTGCAACTTATCTTTGATTTTTTGTAAAGAAAAACAGCCCGTTCTTAACATTTTTAATTACCTCATAAATGTTCTTTACATGAACGACATTTATTTATGGGTATCCTCGAAAATTATATATTTAGATGAAGACTTCCGCTTATCCACATCAATCATGGCATGATGTATGTGATTGCTACTATTTGGATAGTTTTACATGTTTGGGGGTGGTAGAGCTTTGGATGCGCTTAACCTAGACCACATAAGGTGTTACATGATTTGAACATAAATAGCTTAAGGGATTTGATATCAGTTAGATTTAGAGTTCTATGTTCTTTCTATCTTAGAAAGGAACCCATATGATATAATGAAGTCAACATTTCTAATACTACATTAAATCTATTAGATGAGAAACTTGATACTACAAGACTTAAAAAATACAAATCTCAAGTTAGATCTGCTCTAATGACTCATCCTGCTGAGGGGACATGTTGAGGGATGTGTTATACATCAAACAAATATAAAATTAAAGTAACACACAAGACCTCGAGTTACTCCAATAGCCAGATAGTACGTACATTTTAGTGGCGGTGACATTGCTAAACTTCCAAGAACATTTTTTGGACATGGATTAAAAAAAGAAAGCATGCAACAAGATGAAGTTGCCTTTAGGGGTAATAAAAATGTAAATTATCAACAATTGAACATTTCATGTGTCTCCCAAATTGTTCCCCCACTTTTTGAAAAAAAAATACCAAGGGTTGATTTGGTCCTCATTGTTGGGGGGGGGGGGGGGGGGGGTCAAAAAGGGAATAAATATGACATCGATAAAAAATATTATCATTTAACCAAGAATATCATAAGTTCTTGCCAATTGTATTTGTAAGTCTAACAACATATGTGAGCTTCTGCTAAAGTTTATTAGTCTGTTTTGTAATTGTTTTCCTGGTTGCAATATGAATTATATTCGTAATGGCTGTAGGATATATCTATATAATGGATTAGTTGATTTAATTTTTTTGGGTGGCAGGTATTTGGTGGTAGCACTAATGCATATTCCATGCTATGGTACTGTTGTATTACTAGTTGAACTGAAAAAATGGGTATTGTCCAAATATCTTCCCAGTTATGTTGCGTTTTGAGATTTGAGATGAGATCATAAGTTCATGTTATCATAATCTTATGATTGTTGAACAACCCATCTTATAGATTTATTATGTATTCATTGAATGCAAATTATGTACAATTTTTTATGTGCAAGGTAACATGGTAAGTTCTTTTTCTCTCTCATTGTGTGTAAGGAATTTAGGAGTGGCAGAACAAATCAACATTCAAAATCGACAATATGAATGAACTAAATAACTAATCAACAATACAACAAATCAACTAGTCATTTATCAACAACTATGAAATATGAACCAATTAATATGTAGTAAAAGAGTTAGAGACATACCTGAAGGGCCGAAGGGACAGAACCGCAGTCCGCAGCCCGCAGGTCCACAGATGAATGACCACCGAGAAGGGGCAGAGCGGCAGGCGGCCAAGGGTCGCTGCCTTGGGCCATCGGAGTCGCTGCCCACTGCATATTGCTTTTCAAGCTTTGAGCAGCTTTGCACAAAACCACCATACGAATGATTTGTTCCCTGAACTTCTAAATGATGAATAACATCTCAGTGATTTTTTTATTGCTTTCAGACTCATGCCTACCACATATGGAATACATATCCTTTTGCCGGTTTGAGTAAGCAGTGATGGGGGCGTGACAGAGCTTTGCGGTTTTGAGTTCTTCCCGGACACCAAAGCTCGAGTTCTTGGCACTAAATCGTTCATCTCCTCACTAAAATCCAATACTCTCTCCGCCCCAAAATGAGTCACATATTTCCTTTTTGGGCTGAACAGTCTCATTTCCATTTTTGGCAAAAGATATTAGGAGCAATTCCAATTCTACTCTTCCAATCGTTTCTCTTCTCTGGCTCTGTTTTCCCTTCCCGACCCCCTCTCGTGACAATCTCACGGATAGAGTGTCTTCTTCCTCCCCCCTCCAGCCCTCCCCCCTTTCCATACGGCAGATTGACAGTAAGCTAGAGCATAAAAATGGCGATCTGTGTCCAGAAGTTTAAAGATGATATTTATAGCGTAAAAAGAAATACTTGTAAATCAAGTAAAAATATGTTAGACTAGTAATATGATGACACGTGTAATACTTTGGTACCAAGCAAAATAGGCTAGTCTAATAATATGGTGGCACACGTGAAGCTTGATTGACGGGAGAGACACAGACAGGTGGCTGATTGGTACCACACCTAACTGATTTGATTCCCTTTGTACTAAAATGCACATGCAAGTCACACGTGTAAGTTTTGGATCTTTCTGTGAATAACCGCCTGGTTGCAGTTTTGGACCTATCTTGACGATCTGAGAAATGATTTGGGAACCGACCTCAGCTGGTGCAGGCTCGGCCTTGTAGGTAGTTTTGTACTTAGTGTTTTCAGGAGATTGTTTATCCATAAATGCTAATACCCCCGAGGTATATGGAAATAGACTTCATCATGAGTCACTCACTCTTTGAAGCGAAGTCACACTTGAGGTGATATAGAGTAATTTCTTCAATCTGCGGGGTTGGCACACCCGGCGGGGGGCACTTCTTATCATGATTAAACCCTGCGGGAAAAAAAACCATAACGGAGAAAAAAGAGTACACTCCGCTTTGAGGTAATTCCCAAAAAAGAAGGCGACGTCCCGTTGCAAAAAATGAACTCGAGTTTGGGGCTATATTGTAATCAGTGGACTTGATTTTTCGACCTAGCAAGTTAGTTGCTACCTCCACGGCCACAACCAAGGGTTTGATGCAAAGTTAAAATTTAAAATAAAGTAGCGAGCTCAGTTTAAGTTATGCATGTTTGATGCTATAATCGAGGTTGCTTGTTGTAATCTGAGCGGAGTTTGAATTCTTCATGATTTTTTGCTCGTGGATTTGCTCGAGTTCCCACTTACCAGTCCCATACTCTTTGGACTTAGAAAATTTTCTAAATGCAAGGAGTATAAGTATGAGCCTAAGGGGGACGAGGTAGCGCCTCTGCAAGGTTTGTGGACTTGAGATTTTTAGATTCCGCATTTGAGAAATGCGATTGCGTGTATCAACACTGATGTGTACAATTGGAATTTCCAAATGCTCCTTTCGTAATTTGAATTTATCCTGTTGTTATATCATAAGAGCATCTCCAATGGGATGCTTTTAACAGTAACAAAATGGAACCACGTAATGGCCTGTGAAAGTGTTTCATTTTTTTTTTGCTTCAACGCTCTCTTTATTCGGATAAGTCATGATCAGTTGTCAAAATTTAATGTCAACACTTTCAAACCCACTTTCGCATTCTAAACAGCCAATTATACAGCCTAGGTAAGCTTTATCGTGAAATAGAGATACATGTTGGGGTCAAATTACGGAAAATATGGGTTTCCCATTTATTAAAATTGAATTAAATATATCCACTTCTACAAAACAATTACACAATAGCGTGATGCATTGCGGAGCTTTTTAGTGCTTTACTGGTTTCGATTTTGACATTACTCCTACATGGATAAACATTCCATATAAATATTGTCATGTGTCACAATTTTTTTAATGTTAAAGCATCCCGTTGGAGATACTCTAAAGACACGATGGGACAGTACGTTGTCATCATTACCTTTTGGTGTGCCTTTTCCAATTATGATTTTTTTGGGCGGATGGTTCCCAGCCAACCACGTGGCGCATTCTGGCCCATGTGTTGGTGACATAATAAAGGCATAAAGTGTGACTACTTACACTTTACGATTTCTTTCTTCGCTTTGAGCTTCTGAGTTTGTCACTACCCGAGTTCCTCGTGTTTGCAGAGTCTTCAAACTTTCTTTGACCAAGGTCGATTTCAAGTTCCAACCTCTTCGTACCCTTCAAGTAAGCCCTCGGGCTCTCAATGCTTTTATTTTTTATTTTTATCGTTTCCGGAAAACCAAAATTAGGGATTCCGGTACGTAGTTCGATTTGGACCATTTGACTGTGTTTAGCGTCACATTGGCGTTATTGTTTGTGCGTCCAGGCTCGAAATCAGGCCAGGAGGCTCATTCAGCCTTTAATTTTGAGTTTTGGGCTCGGATTGGGACCCAATAGTTTGTGAATGGATCCACACACACCACGTAAACGCTCGAATAAGGAGTTCGAAGCAGTTCGTATACCGTGGGATCATCCCAAAGTGAGCACCGCGCTCCACTCTCAAAACGACGTAGTTTTACACAAGTTTATTAAAAACAAATCGCGTGAACAGTACACGCGTGTATAGTAACTGTTTTTTCCTTTTTGTCCCAGTAGCATGAATGATGTAACTCGCGCGCAAAGATATGCAACTCACGTTATTGATTAATGTAACTCAAGTCTATTCGAAATGTAACTTGTCAAATACATAGTATAAGAAATAAAATATTGATTTCAATTAAAAAGAGAGTCTAGTTGCACAAATTCTTTAGGCAAACAGTGAATATGTTTTGTTTTTTAATAGCATGACCACAAAAAATGATTCAGATACGGACCCATCTTTTTTTCCGGTTAAGAAAGTTGATGGTGACCTAGATCAATGATGTAAGACAACATATGAACTTATGATTATATTGTAATTACATGTATTTGAGATTAATATTAGAAGAGCATGAAAAGATTGGATTATTCTTGTGAATCTTTCCAAAAATTAAGAGTTGATAATTGAGATTAATAAAAGAAGATCGACTATAGTTGAGATTATTTATAGCTTATGCATAGTTGGCATTTAAATTTGACCTATAATACCAGGTTGCAGCCGATAGAGAATACATATTGAAAATAGTTCCTATAGTTGGGACCACCCATGAATAATCGATAGTTGAGATTATTAGTAGTGGACCGGTAATAGTTGAGATTATTATTTTCAATTTTTTCAACAAATAAAGCAATAAAAGTTATTCGCTAGTATTCGCCCCATATGAAGTTTCAAAGTCAATTTTTTTTGTCAAACATATATATGTTATTCACTTAACTATGATACAACAATAACATCCAAACCTTAATCCCAAAAGAATTCGGGGTCGGCTAACATGAATCGATCTATGATATCGATGCCAAACAGAGAAGACAGACAAGAAGGGGAAAAAAGTAAGATAAAACGGATAAAACAAAGAGCCCGTTTGGTGAGTCCCTTTTTCGGCTTATGAGGCTTATCCGCCAACTTTTTCACCAAACACGTAATGTTTGATTTCGGGCGATGAATTTCGCAATAAGCTTGGAGTTACTTTTCGGTCTGTATTAGCTGAAGTTACTGTAAAGGTTCATTTTAGCTATTTTTCATTTAATTTTTTATTTAATTTATTAATAACAAATATTTTAAATATAATTTTTCATGAATTAGCAGAATTAGCCAATACAACCACTTCAGTCAGAACTTCATAAATTTCAGCAGAATCAACCAATTTTAGAGTTACCAAACGGCCTCAAAGATAAATAGATATAAGATAACAATAACATAAGAATATAAGAAAGATAAAAGATAGAAAAATAACAGAGCATAAAAAAGCTAGAATGTAAAAATAACATTAGAATATAAAAAGACAAAGAAGATAAACAATAAAGAAGAAGAGAATGAGAAGAGGTAGAAAAGACATCAAACTGGAGGGCACACAACTGTGCGCCCTCCACTTTGCTCTCATCCAAGTCAAGAAGACGCATATCAGTTCTGATTCTTCTAATCCAAGGCTGTTTGAGTCTTTCCTCCCTCTCTTCTCAGCCTCTATAACTCGGTCTTCTACGCATATGCCCAAACCACCGCAAACGAGACTTTTGCATTTTATCTTCTATGATATAAATTTTTAATTAAATTGTATTTTTGATTTTACAACTTTAAAAATATTTCAACGTAGTTTCTGAATATGTATATTTTTTTATTATAATTGTATTAATTATCAATAGTAAGGATTTAAATAGGGATGAACATATCTATTTGGTTTAACCGCACCCAACCAAACTAAACCGAATCATTTGAAAATTAGTTTGAGTTTGATAGTATTTCTTCCAAATCGTATCAAATCGAACCGAAACCGATAAAATCCAAACAAAAAAAGAATTAAACTAAAGAAATTCAGAAAAAACTTCATATATCATTTATAAATAACAAATCATAAGTGATCTAAATCAATTTGAAAAATAGTCCTCCGTTCCAAATTTAACCAACCCAATAAAACCGAATTGAAAACCAATATGCACACCTTTAGATTTAACTTTAATATTAGTTGATAAAAGATGTTGATTTTCCAAAACAATACGGGAAGGAGTAATAATAAAAGGTTACTGTAATATACTATGCTAATCTAAGGGTTATATTAGGTGTCTATACACACTGTTGGTGCAGGAATTTGACAGCATTCAAGAATCTTAACCCACGACAATTAATGATGCGTTTATTAGGATTAATGCTAGCTGATTAATTCTAGCGGTTTTACGTGTATTATGAGAGTTATTACTGTAATTAATGCGTAAGTTACTCAAATGGTTAACCGGAATTTATGACGACATAATGACTACTTTGATGTCGTCGTAACGGTCGAAACCGTCAATAACGGGCAAAAGGAGATTAAATGTCTCTCTCATAAATAGCTACGAGTTCCATTGTATTCAAGAACCATTCATTCGAATAATACTCTAAGTTTCACTCTATTTTTCTTATTTGACATTCTTCTTGTTGTTCTTGTCATTTTCCTTATCGTTCTTGTACGAAACCCAATCAATATATAATTTCCATTTTAATTAGTTTTAGTTTGTCAAATTTCCGCAAAAAGAATTTGGCGCCATCTGTGGGAAGTCGTGCAAGAAATACATTCTACATGGAAGGAACGAGCAGCGAGATGATGACCGAGTTTCACAAGCAATTGGAGGCAATGAAAGAAGAAATCCGGCGTGAAGTAGCGGAACGGATGGCTCACCTCCAGCAAGAAAATGACGTCCTACGATCCTAGGTGCAATCAACGGTGTC